GCAGCAGCTCAAGAAGCTGCAGGTGGGTATCGGGGAGGGGGGATATGGGGGTCTTCAACCCATCCCAGCTCTTACTGGGGTGGCTCCGGTCCCGGAGGAGGAAAAATCTCCCTTTCCCTGTGACCTCGCGTAGGGCTGGGGGTGGGACGGTGAGGGGATGCCTCCCCACGCCGAGCTCAGAGCTATCCCCACGAGTGGCCACACCGTTCCCCGCTGGGAGGATCTTGCCCCCCTGAACCCCCCCTCCTCCTCGTCCCCTCAGCTGCAGAACCAAGAGACGGTGAAGACGATGCTGCGGCGGACGGAGACGGAGATCAGCGTGCGGGTGACGGACACCATGCGCAAGCACGAGGACCCCCTGCAGCGCCAGCGCAGCTTGGTGGAAGAGGAGCGGCTCCGCTACCTCAACGAGGAGGAGCTCATCACGCAGCAGCTCAAGTGAGCCGGGGCTGGCGGCAGCGCTGGGGGACGGGGTCCTTTGCACGCTGACCTCCATGGGGCAGATCCTCCATGGGTGTAAAGCAGCGGCTCTGCGCGGTGCCGGGTCACATCCTTGACCGCGCGCCCAGCACGGAGGTGTCCCCAGCCCAGTTCTCCTCTGTTGTGCGGGGACCTGCCAGGCTGGTCACCCCTGGGGCTCTGCAGCATCCCAGAGCAGCAGAGACACCCCTGTCCCACCTCTGTGCCCGCAGTGACCTGGAGAAATCGGTGGAGAAGATCCAGAAGGATTTGGCCCACAACCACCGGCTCATCCCAGTGCAGGAGCTGGAGGAGAAGGCGGTGGTGCTCAAGCAGCTGGGGGAGACGCTGACAGACCTCAAGGGTGAGGAGGTGGCCGGGTCCGGGGCTGGGTGTCACACGGAGCCTGTCTGCATCTCCCTGCTCCATCCTCATAGAGTGGTTCGGGTTGGAAGGGACCTTGAAGACCATCCAGTGCCGCCCCCTGCCCTGGGCAGGGACACCTCCCCCCAGCCCAGGTGGCTCCAAGCCCCGTCCAATCTGGCCTTGAACACCTCCAGGGATGGGGCAGCCACAGCTTCTCTGGGTAACCTGGGCCAGTGTCTCACCACCCTCAGAGTGAAAAATTTCATCCTAATATCTATTCTAAATCTCCAGTTTGAAACCATTAGCCCCTATCCTATCACTACATGCCCTTGTAAAAAGTCCCTCTCCAGCTTTCTCGTAGGTACCCTTCAGATACTGGAAGGCCACTATAAGGTCTCCCCGGAGCCTTCTCTTCTCCAGGCTGAACAGTCCCAACTCTCTCAGCCTCTCCTCCCAGCAGAGGGGCTCCAGCCCTCTGATCATCTTTGTGGTCCTCCTCTGGACCCGCTCCAACAGGTCCATGTCCTTCTTAATCCTTGATCTGGAAGTGTAACATAGAACATCCTGGGCTCCTTGCATGTGACAGTGTAAGGGAAATACTGGATGTCTTTTATAGCTTATGGCTATAATATTTTCCTCCAGGCACAGCCAACCAGCAGAGGCTGCACTGAAAGAGCAGGAAATTTGTGTTTGTCAGTGCACAAAGCTGGGAATGACAAAACTTCACAGGTTTTGTGATCCTCACCCTCTCGAGTAAAAATGTATTTTTGGACTACAGTATTTTATTACATTTTTCTATTCCATGATTACACTCTACTTCTGATACTTAACATCTCAGAGAAACAGAATAAAATGTTGACTACGCAGCTGTGAAGGGAAATATTTCTGACCACAACCGCCATCTTCTACAACTTTGTTCTTACATGAATAAATAATGTGAAAATGGCAGTCACATATTTATTCATGTTAGATGGGGAAGCACAAAGGTTAATTCCAAAATTTCTCCAAAGCACAGAAATTTTGAGATTTTCACTATGAACATACCTAGGACTGCAGTCTTAAAATGTGAATTTCTTATTTATGGAGGTAATACGTAAGGTATGATACCTTCCTGCAAAGAAGAGCCCAATACCCCAAGATATATTTAAGAGTAAAGTTAAACTACAACAGAGATGATCCTACTTCCTGATTTTGTGAAGACACCACACTGACAAAATCCCCACTTACTCCGGTGGGTTTTGCACCATATGACTGTGCGCTAACATTTCCAGCATCAAAAAAAAAAAAAAAATCTGCAAGGCTTAACTCACCAGTTCAGACATTTCTCTTGCAGTTAAAAGTTGGCTTGCGATGGTTCCCCGGTACGGTGGGACCATGGTGACCCCCCCCCCCTCCGCCCCATCTCTCCCACCCCAGCCCAGTTCCCCAGCCTGCCGAGCAAGATGCGGGTGGTGCTGCGGGGGGAGGGGGAAGCCGTCAAGTTCCTCAAGGAGGAGCCGAACCGCCTCGATGGTCTCCTCAAGCGCTGCAAGACGGTGACGGACACCCTCGCCCAGATCCGCAGGTGAGCCCCCACCCCGGCCCTGACTGCCCCCCAAATAATCACACCTTGAGAACCTTGGAAGACACAGCTGGTGCCTTCGGTTGTCCCTGTGTCCCCCACGTGTGTGCCGGTGTCCTCTCTGCATTACTCTTACAATTATGGATGCGAATCCCAAGGGCTGTTGAAAAAAAAGGCTCATTTTTCTGCTAAGGGACTAAAAAAAATGCCTTGGGTCCTCTCCAGTGTGTCTGTGGGAGCCCCTCTTTCTAAACTGGCCTTGAAAAAAGCGCAGTGGTATAGAATCATGGAATGGTTTGGGTTGGAAGGGACCTTCAAAGGCCATCTAGTCCAACCCCCCTGCCATGGGCAGGGACATCTTCAATGAGAGCAGGATGCTCAGAGCCCCGTCCAACCTCACCTGAAATATTTCCGGGGATGGATAGAAAGACAACCCTCGGCGTGAGCAGAAATCTCTTTCCCGAGGAGCAGAAAACCGTTTTGCCAGAGAAAAAAAAAAAAAAAAAAATCGTTTTCCTGATTTAACGATGGCGGCAGGCGGGCCCCCGCGCCGCGGCTGAGCCCTCCTGCCTCTTCCCATTACGAGAGGTTTGGGGGTGGCGCACGGCTCGGCCGCGCTGCGGGAGGACCCCGGGCTCGCCTCGGGCTCAGCGCTCGCCTGATTTTTTACGGAAACGAGCTTGTACGATCGCGCGGCGTCTGAGTCTGCCTACCTGTCATTCCCTGGCCCTAATAACTCCGGCATCCGAAGGGTGATTTCAGCCCGATCTGACAGAGGGACGGGATTCGGAGAGATGCGATTCCCTCCAAGCTTCATGGAAGCGGAGAGGCGGGGAGAGGAGCTCGTTGGCGCGCTCCCCCGGGAGAGGCTGGAGCATCAACTCCCAACCCCTTCACTAGACATCCGAGAACCTCAACCTTCAGCCATACAACGCGGAGTTGCGGGAGAGCGAGTGTTTTTTTGCGGCGTGGCTCGGAAGAGGGTGCAGTAACCCCCCCTCCCCGTGCCGTGCAGCCCCCCCCAGTGCCTTCGCTCTCTCCCCGGCAGGCAAGTGGACGAGGGCGTGTGGACCTCCCCCGGCAACCTCAGCCAGTCCCCCAAGAAGGTGGCCCCCGAGACGGACTTCGGCAAAGGGCTGGATTTGGAGATGCCCACCAGCCCCCCCGTCAGCCTCCACCACCTGACGGCGGTCACCGAGACCCTGGGCATGCCCAGCTTTGGGCACAGCGCCCCCCAAACCCAGACCCATCCCTCCAAGAGCAATAACCCTTCCCGAGCTCCGGAGATGGTACCCGCCAAGACCCAGACGGGCCCGGAGACCCCCAGCAAGCAGAGCGCGGA